CAGTGCAAATAAAAGAGTTTTAGATCCTTTGCTAATATAAATTATAGAGTTCCACTGTACAGTTTTTACTAGGGATGTTTTAGATTTATTTCTTTTTTTTTTAAATATAATTTTTTATTGAAAAAAAAAAGATTTCCGCCTCCTCCCCGCCTCCCATTTCCCTCCCCGTCTCCCTTTTCCCCCCTCCTCCCTCTCCTCTCCCCCTCCCCCCCTCTCCCCCTCCCTCTCCAGTCTGCGGGGCAGTCATGGTTCCCTGCCCTGTGGAAAGTCCAAAGTCCTCCCCGCTCCATCCTGGTCTAGGAAGGTGAACATCCAAACTGGCTAGGCTCCCACAAAGCAAGAACATGAAGTAGGATCAAAACCCAGTGGCATTGTCCTTGGCTTCTCAGCAGCCCTCATTGTCCGCCATATTCAGAGAGTTCGGTTTTATCCCATGGTTTTTCAGTCGTAGTCCAGCTGGCCTTGGTGAGCTCACAATAGATCAGCCCCACTGTCTCCGTGGGTGGGTGCACCCCTCGTGGTCCTGACTTCTTTGCTCATATTTTCCCTCCTTCTGCTCCTCCTTGGGACATTGGGAGCTCAGTCCAGTGCTCCAGTGTGGGTCTCTGTCTCTATCTCCATCCATCTCCAGATGAAGGTTCTTTATTTATCTCTAGAAACCAATTATGAGTGAGTTTTCGATAAAGGAGCTAAAAGTATACAATGGAAGAAAGAAAGCATCTTCAACAAATGGTGCTGGCACAACTGGATGTCAACCTGTAGAAGAATGAAAATAGACCCATATCTATCACCATGCACAAAACTCAAGTCCAAATGGATCAAAGACCTCAATATCAGTCTGAACACACTGAACCTGATAGAAGAGAAAGTGGGAAGTACCCTACAACAGATGGGCACAGGCGATCGCTTCCTACGTATAACCCCAGCAGCACAGACATTAAGGGCAACATTGAATAAATGGGACCTACTGAAACTGAGAAGCTTCTGCAAAGCAAAGGACACTGTCACTAGATTTATTTCTTGACTCCTTGGCCAGTTACCTGCTAGACAAGTGAGCAGTGGAGAAGCTAGTGAACAAGATAGAGGCTCCAAGGCTTTGACCCAGCTGCAGTGCCTTGGGACCCGACTCCCCTATCACTCTTTTCAAACACAAACTTGGGGTGGAGGGCTGATTTTTACTTCATATTAAATAATCAAAAGCAACCAGGTTTTTGTTTAGTTACCTGCCATGGAGAATTTGAGACAGTCACTGTAAACTTCTCTTTCTTTGCTATGGTGGAAGAGAAATAGCCTTGCTTGTATAACCGGTTCACCCCCTTAAGAAGCTAACACTTACTCCACAACCTCTCCAGCAAACGCTATCATTGGTGTTTTTGATTTTAGCCATTCCGACAGGTGTAAGATGGTATCTCAAAGTTGTTTTAATTTGCATTTCCCTGATCACCAAGGAGGATGAGCATGACCTTAAGTGTCTTTTGGCCATTTGAATTTCTTCTGTTGAGAATTCTCTGTTCAGTTCAGTGCCCCATTTTTTAATTGGGTTAATTAGCATTTTAAAGTCTAGTTTCTTGAGTTCTTTATATAGTCTAGAGATCAAACCTTTGTCTGTTGCAGGGTTGGTGAAGATCTTCTCCCAGTCTCTGGGTTGCCTTGAATAAGCATGGGATGAAACCAGACTTTCTGAACGTGGCAGACAATGAAGGCTGATGAGAAGCCAAGGACAATGGCACTAGGTTTCAATCCTAATACATGAACTGGCTTTGTGGGAGCCTAGTCTGTTTGGATGCTCACCTTCCTGGTCCTGGATAGAAGTGGGAGGACCTTGGACTTCCCGCAGGGCAGGGAATCTGAACTGCTCTTCATTCTCAAGAGGGAAGGGGAATGGAGTGGGAGAGGGGTAGGGGAGTGTGAGGAGGGGGCGATGTGTGAGAGGAGGGGAAGGGAAATGGGAAACGGGGAGGAGGCGGTAATTTTTTTTTCAACAACTAAAAAAAAATAAACAAAAAAAAAGAAAAAAAAGAAGCTAACACTTAAGATAAAAATCTATAGAGAGGAGAATAGAATTACATTGATTAGAGAAAGAGGTGGAGATCCTGACTCAAATCAGCCCCCAAACCTTTGCAGTCTCTGGACTTCCAGGATTAGAAGACAATGAAGAGTTTACATGAATTATGAAAAATCATATGCTATGTTATGTATACATATGTAAACTATTATATAATCAACATATGTGTTCGCGCATGATGAATTTGTATTTATAATATATCTGATGGGATAATGATTACTCATAGTGTGAACTTTTTCTCAAAGCATCTGATAACATCCAAAATGTTGATTAATCTTTAGACAGTGGTACAATTCTTTCTTTAGTGTAATTGCCCTAAGTAAATAATGCTTGTGCTTAATTAAAAATTTAGCATAAGAAACCCTCAATGCCTTCAAAATTTCCTTGGGAAACTCGTGGCTTTTATGGAAGGAAAACAGGTAAATAAGTTTCCTTCACAGTAAAAAAATAAATGACTTATTAGATAGAGTCTTCTGCATTTTAGTAAAACTAATTCAAATTATATTTAAATTATTTATAAATTTATAGAATATAGTTATATTTTAGATTAAATATCCACTAATAATGTATAAAGACTATCAGAATATCATGTACAACCTAATTTTAATATATATAAACTTTTAAGTACAAATAAACTCAAAGTTACTAGTAAAAAAGTCAGGATACAAAAAATTAAAATTATATAAATTTTTAATAATTACATAGATATTGACGTTATATAGTGATGTTTGGTAGACTTTTTAGAAAAACTTCTTTGCTGTAAATGTCATATGCCTTGGATGGGTGAGGTGTGTTAGCAGGAAAAGGTGTTTTCTCCAAGCCTGACAATGCGGGGTGTATCCCTGGAACCTGCCTTGGCAAAAGAAACTGCTTTAGGTTGCCCTCTGATCTGCACTTGCATACACACATACACACAAACACAAACACACACAGAAACACACACATGTACACACACAATACACTTACATACACACAAAAGCTCACCTTTTTAAGGGGTAAATGCTTTCTTTTTTTAGCTGTTTTATTCTTTCCATCTTTATTTTTTAATAGATTTAATGACCTTCTCTCATAGTTATATGAGATATAAATTAAATATAATGTAATTACAATATACTTTTTAATTAAGCATTTTATGTAAAGCTAAACAAAGTAGTAAAAGCCGTAAAACCATGAATAATTAAAATCTGAACTTCTAAAAACCAAATCCACCTTCCAAGATATTTGTTGCTTCTATTTAACACTTTCTATGATGGTAAAGATTCAGCATCTGGTAACATATCAGAGCTTGCTCACTGCTCCAGTGGCACACGCTTCCATGGGAGGTGTGACTATTCTGTACGTTCATCTCATCCAGTCAGTCTGCCACTTCATTCTAATACCCGGTATGCACTGAGTAACCACAGTCTATCAGGGAAAGCATTGCACAACTGCTTAGTTTATATAGTTTATATATATGGAAACATATGATTTTCATGAAAATAGTCCCTATAAAGATCAAATATGAGACCTCAAGAACAATGGCAATGGGTTTTTGATCCTACTGCACCTATTGGTTTTGTGGGAGCCTAGGCAGTTTGGATGCTCACCTTACTAGACCTGGATGGAGGTGGGTGGTCCTTGGACTTCCCACAGGGCAGGGAACCCTGATTGCTCTTTGGGCTGACGAGGGAGGGGGACTCGATTGGGGGAGAGGGAGGGAAAGGGGAGGCGGCGGTGGGGAAGAGACAGAAATCTTTAATAAATAAATAAATAAAAATTAAAAAAATTAAAAATTAAAAAGATCAAATGTGTTATTATTTGAGATACACTTTCAAGTTCTATGATCAATGAGACTGTAAACAATATTCACTCTTGAATTTCACACATTAAGGTAATTATTAATCACCTTCACACAAAACACCTCAAACTTCATTACCAACAGTTAAAAATCTGGCTTTCTTGTGCATATTTTGCACCAAAAGTGAACAAATCCAAAAACTTTTCCAAAAATAATATGTTCGACACAATGCATTTATTAATACAGACCATAAATATTGTATATTGTGCTATTATTTTTGTGAATCAATATTAATATCTTATCTAGTAGTCCTTGAAAATTTAAACATCAAAGAGATGAAGTTATAATCATATCTTCTAAATATATTATATTTTCTATATAATATATTTCTATATTTAGAATTATATATTCTAAATATATAAAAATTGATGTTCTCTCAAAAGTTTAGAAATGTATAGCATTTCAAATATTTTTACAAGTAAAAGTTATTGTGGAGATATTTCATGAACCAATAATGACCACTAATGGGTGATATTTTCCCTTTACTGGTTGAAAATTTTTCTTTGAGTTATTCACCTCGATATCATAGTAACACCTCAATGAAATGTATGTTTCACTTCACATACTTTTGTTTTTACTGACAGGAAACCTTACCAATCTTAATTATACAATGGTGAGGACAAAGTAGTTACAAATTTATTAAAGGAATTCATTGATTTTTTTCAAGAAATAGAAATATTTGTTTTAGTTTTACTGATTGTTGTATGCTACCAAAATATACACCAGGCTTTTCTGGGCATTTTTTTCTCCAGCATCTGAAGATTGCATAGGGAACAACTTGTTATTTTATTTTATTTATTTTATATAATCTTTGCTTTTTTCTTACAGATTATAAAATTTTATGTTTATAATATAATCAAATATTGTTATTAAAAAATTTACTCTTCTAATAAATTTTTCAAATAAGAACCTTAAATAATAATTTGCATTTTTCTAAGCAATAAGTAACAGGCAATGAAAATATTGGGTTTAATTATATTTTTAGAAAGGATGGGCATTTTTGATCAGTTTAGAAAACCATCCTATAGACAGTGACAAATCTTCTAATGAGTTATATTTAATATTGGGGATATGGGAACTTAATACACAATGTTGACTTTAGCATCAAAATTACAGATTATAGTTTGCCGACTTTTAGAATACTTACCATGTTAAGACAAGTTTACATTGTGAAGTGATGCGAGTTAGTATTTTACATGTAAACACTTGTCCATAATATGTTCTGGAAATAAAATCATAAGAAAAAATTAAGAATAAAACTAAGTCAAATATTTTTAAAGCTAAGTGTATCAAGTATGTATATTAGAATTTTTTTATTTAGCAGACTTTCATTTTGACATATTTTTCCCTGAATGTCATATTTACTGCACATAGTTCCCATGGTAGTGGACATCAGGTGACTAATGCAATGCCATAAGCTGCTCTTATAGAGGAGATTTTGAAGAGAAAGTCACATCAGAGTGATTTCTGCAACTTTGGAGAATAGGAGAGTGTTATCAAATTTCTTCTACATGTAGAATGTGAACCATATTACTTGCACCTGCCCCCAGTGCATGAGCAGGACATCTGAGGATTACACAGATCTAGTATTCAGAAGGCCAAGTCCTCCTAGCAAATGCTGGCTCATTCTAAAAAGCCATGTTAAATGTTTCAAACAAGTCTAGTAACAGCTAAGCATAGGCATTAAGCTCTAGGCTAAATTAATATTAATCATTATAACATTACATTATCTCAGTAGTCAGCCCTCCCTAATTGAAAATTCTGTTGGTCCCTAGACAAGAAACTGACCTTTATTCTCTAATGGTTAAGTATATTTTAATACATAACATTGATCTTGATCTGCAATTCCAGATAACATTAGTTATCATGGTAAACTAATCCATGTAATTCTAACTTCTCAATAATTGGACATAATTAGTTAAGAACATTATAATCTTGCCAGGTTCCCATGGCAATTTTGTGAAGTAATAATAGGAAAGGACATATTTGCAGAATCATATGTTTGAGTCAATGAAGAGGCTATGCAACAAAACCCCTACTTGTCTATATAAATTTCATGAACAGGACTTTGGGATGGATTCATCTAAATTTTGAAATCACATAGAATTATATTTCTTCCTATAGGAAAGTATTATAAAGATCTGTTTATAGTTTATTTCCATGATTGGATTTTATTTATGGGGGGAAACAAGTTAAGGAAGAGTGACAGAGTGAATAATAAACCTCTCAGAAGTCAGAGATGCACAAAACAAATGAAAAAATTTCCAGGAAATGAAAATAGCCAAGAGCTGGAAGTCTTAAAATATACTTCATGATGGAGATATATAAAATAAAAACAAATAAAAAGAAAACAGTTGCTTTCATTTCTTTTTATGTTTTGATTACATTGCCCTAAAACAATTTTCTGTTATTAGATAAGCTTTCACATAAGATCCATGCTTTTATACAGAATATCTTGGTTGTTTCATATTTTTTAAGTTTTTACATAGTTAACTTTATAAATCATGCTCTTGCATGAAAATAATTTTGGCCAGCTCACTTTCATGCATATTGAAACATAATGAAAGAGTCATGTTTTAAGACTACACTAATTTTAGATGCCTTATACAAGTTCTATCAAAGAGGATTTGGCTTCTTGTTAATTTTTGACTCTACAGAAAAAATACCCGACCATCTATTATTAATCAATTATTTAAAGAATAGGAAAAATTTCAAAGTTAGTTTGGTAAGTTTAAAGTCATTCTGTTAAGCAAGTTGCACAGTACTTCTGGTCCAGAGGCAACCCTGAAACAGAGTTTTTGGCTGTGTGTGTGCACACACACACACACTCAAGAGAAAATAAGTGAAAGAGAAAGAGAAAACCAAAATGTAAGCAAAAATCTGATGGTGGAAATGTGTTGATATCATAGGAAATGAGTTTGACTGTATAACAACTGGAATCCATCAATGGACTCTCAATAGTGTTGGACGGTGATCTTGTTTTAAAAGCAGTGGGATGGGTAGACTAGAGATCAACCCTCCTCAAATAGGTAAAAGTCCTGTGCAAAATAAAGAGGCTTCAAACTAGTAACAGAAAGAATGGAGATGAGACCAAGACCCTATGAACAAAATGATTACTTCCCCTCTGCCCTAGTTACTGTTCTGCTGCTGTGAAAAGATATCATGACCAGGGTAACTCTTTTAAGAAAGCATTTAATTGGGTTTTGCTTACAGTTTCAGAGAGGTAGTCCATGATCAACATTGTGAGAAGCAGAAAAGCTTGGCGGTGAGCAGTAGCTGAAAGCTTTGTATTTTGGATTCTCAAGCAGCAGGCAGAAAGGAAGGTATCGGACCTGGTGTGAGCTTTTGAAACCTCAAAGCCCACCCCCATACCTCCTCCAATGAGGATTCACCCCTAATCCTTTCCAAGTAGCTCCAGTAACTGGGGTTCAAGCTTTCAAACATGTGAGTCTGTGAGGACCATTCTTATCCAAGCCATGACACTGGGAGTTAAAAGAGACTAGAAATTTTTATTCACTGTTCTGACTTGAGTGGCTCGTTCACTAACATAAGAAACAAACAAAAAACAAACAAAATCACGAACAATGAATGAAGAGTTTAATTTGTCAAAAGAAGGTTGCAAATGCTTTTAAATAATAAGCTGGATATCTGCAAAGAGTCAAATATTCCAGTATATTAGACGCTTGAATTTAATAGAGAAGTTGGGTATGACAGTCAGATTTTGTGGATGTGGCCGAGTACAATCTCAAAGTAAAGAATGAAAATGATTGTACAGTTGTATTACTAATAATAGTCTAGGTGCTTACAAGAAAAGAATACTAACAGCTGATTTGAGTGTTTTCATTGTTGTTGATATTTTTTCAGTTTCGTATTTGTATGTGTTTTTAAGGAAAGTGAATGAGAATACACATGTTCACATATGTGAGCACATAAGTACAAGTACATATACATGTGTGCACACAGCTATGCATATGAAGACCAAATACTGATGTCAGGTATCTTCCACAAAGGTTAATTTTACTCTCAATAGCAGGCCCTCTCACTGGATAATCTTACAAGCCAACTTGTCCTATTTCCACCTCCTGAGATTACAAATTTTTCTCCTGTGAAGATGGATGCTTAAAAGAAATCCCACACCAGCTCAGAATTGGGTATAATAAAGGGTTATTTGGGGGTAGACACACAGATTACAGTCCTATGTTTAAACAGGGAACAGCAACCAAATCCCGCAGCTGGAAGAGAGATGGGACGTGCACTTTACATTGGCATATATAGTATAAGAGGCTGTGCCCAAGTGGGTGAGTAACTTAAAGACTACTGGCTGTAGAAATTCCTACAGCACCTCCCCCTTTTGTTTAAATAAGAGAGTTCTAAGCCGAATACAAAATTATATAAAATAAGAACAATATCAGGTATAAAAATTAGAATTACAACCAACATAAACAATATTAAGCAAGAAACATGTGATAAATGTTTTAATAGTTTTCCTATCCTAAGGAGTTTAAATCTTGTCTAATAAAAAACTTGGCCAAGCCATGATAGGAAAGTAACTAAAACACTCTAGTGTTCAACCCATTGAAGACCCAAGAAGGGAAATAATATTGCTTGAGTAAACAAAAAGTGCAATCAAGCAATTTGCAAAATATACAACAAATGATAGTGACAACTGGCTACCTGGGCAATCACCTAAAGTCTCTTTTGCAATGTTGGAGCAACCAACTTTAGCTAAAGCCTAGAGTAACTGACTGATCATTTCAAGGGCAGAAAAATTTTCAAAACCATCTTACCCTCTAATGGCAACATTTGACAGTCTTTTTTCTTGTATCCTGCTTGTCCTGTCTGAACACGGTGCATTTTGTCAGTGGTTGATGCCTGGGCTGTTCCTTGTCCAAAGGCCAGTTTTGCTAAGAAGAAAACAAGCTCCAAGTGGATTGTCTTCAGTGTTCAATATTCTCTCCGGAATAGATCAGTGCTGCCAGGAACATCATGCCTTACATCAACAGAACACTAAGTTATTTAAATGCCATATTCTACAGCTATTTGAAGTGTTTAAAGATTACCTTTCTATGCAGAATACATTCTCTATGTATCTAAAGAACCTGATTGGTCTAACTTTAAGTATGGCAAACATGAATATAACTTAAAGATTAGGTCTTCATATTAGAATATTAAATAATCTTAAAGCAACTGTGAAACAAATGCGGACAATGACCTCAAAATGTAAACAATGTATACGTATCTTGATCAGAGGTAGAATGTATATTGCAATATAATAAATATATCCTAAAATTGTATCAATATACAAAATGTCTTAAACAGAGGTGGAAGCATGCTTGCAAACAGTATGACAAAATAACATTGCCTAGGTATACAAATATTGTAGACAAAAATAGGAACATATTCAATATAATTAACATTTGTATCAATATATAAGAATCTATACCAATGTATCTATACCAATGTAAATTGCCTATAAATAATAGTTCACAAGTATTCACTCCATTACCCACTATTATTATCAGTGTGAGTAAGCTCACACTAATCTATTATCCCATCCAATTTCCTTTTTTTTTATTAAAAATTTCTACCTCCTCTTCTGCTCCCTTTTCCATCCCCCTCCCCCCACCCCCCACCCTCCACTCCTTTCCCTCTCCCTCTCCAGTCCAAAGAGCAGTCAGGGTTCCCTGCCCTGTGGGAAGTCCAAGGTCCTCCTCCCTCCATCCAGGTCTAGGAAGGTGGGCATCCAAATAGGCTAGGCTCCTACAAAGCCAGTACATGCAGTAGGATCAAAACCCAGTGCCATTGTCCTTGGCTTTTCATCAGCCCTCATCGTCCGCCATGTTCAGAGAGTCTGGAAGTCAGGACCACGAGGGGTGCACCCACCCACTAAGACGGTGGGACTGATCTAACAGGAGCTCACCAAGGCCAGCTGGACTGGGACTGAAAAAGCATGGGATAAAACCAATTTCCTTTTTTTTAAAGAGATCCCTAAGCTTACATAATTTTTTTCCAACCCCCAACCCTATACCAATTATAATCAACACCCAAATGATGTCTCTAACACTGAGGATAAATTTTGTTGGGAGAAAAGACGTTGTCTTCTAGAATTACTCCCAGCTGTCATGGGGATGATGTTCTTTCTATGGGATCCAGTGAAAGTAAAATGATGGGTAAGTTCCAAGATTACTGTCTGATATAATTGAAAATAGTCTCTGAGTATTTGGTAAGGTTTCTCTGAGTTTCCTATTTGTGGTTCTGGCCAGAACATTGTAAATAATAGTGTACCATTTTAGCTAACCAAGTTGGAACCATCTTGGCAGCTGGTACCCAAAACAGGTCTTATAGTAGTGCTATCAGCATCATGACATCATATCAACTAGGTGGAGATGTTGTGGGTCCCCATCTTCTTCCTAAAAATGTCAAAGATTACTGCAGGAAAATTCATTGTTCATTATGGAAAACTGAACATTGTTTATACAGAAATATATTCAATGAAGAGTATGATAGAGAAAAAATAAGTATGAAGAAAAGTAAGTTTTTCTAAATTCTTTCTTTTTGTCCCATACCAGACAGCTCTTGACATGAGACAGAAACTCTGAAATTTTCTTTTAACAACATTCTTAGATTCAGAGAAGGACAGAGCCTTGTTCAACTCCAAAGCCACCTTTGGTTTTTAAATGAATTCTGTTTAGTATTCAGAGATGCTTACCCTGAGATGACATATCTTCACAAGGGATAATTCTCTTTGCTAGATGATCCTATCTGGATACTTATCTTTTCCTCAATATCCCTTCCCCCATCCATGCTGGAATTTTAACTCACTTAATCTCAAGCAGTTCTTGTGCCAGTAACTATAAATGCTGTGCGTTCATGTGTGCAACTACACCATGTTCAGAAGACACGATTCAGCTTGCTTAGACATAAGAATTATATTCAGCTTAAGAATTATATTCTTGGCAACCAAACCCCAGAGATGAAAACATTCACGAACATCTTCAAGCAAGGATGATTACCTGTAAGAAAGAAACAAACATATGAGTAACAGCATAAAGAACCTTGGAAACATGTCCAGAAGTGATAGCCTAAGATCCTGAACACGAAAGTTTGAGAGCCTCCAGATCAGGAAAGTAATTATATTTAAGGTTTATTATATTTAAAGGCTTGATAAAGATTTCACATTGAATACAGGATATGGAAGCATGAGAAATAACCACAAAAATTCCCTGCTGTATGGTTAAAATAAAATAGCTTGGTAATAAAAAAAAATCCGTAAGCATTTTATGCATCAGTAAAAGAGGAAATTCAATTAAAAATTAAAACCTCCTAACAAAAATGTCTCTCCAGATTCCATCAATGCTATAGTTAATATAACAGTTCCATATAAGTAACCAAACATTGTCTGTATGAACGTCATTATAACACACATTTTATTGCACTCGTGACAAAGAGTAAAAATGTGTTACAAACCTTAAGCTGACCAAAAGAGCCAAATGTCCTCAGTTTTACTATACCAATTTTGATGTTTTAAATCCCATGTTGCTATATGTCACTATAAAAATATTTTAAAAGCTAAAGAAAAATAAGCACATAAACAGTATGCATTACAATGGAAATACTAAAAGTTTTTGTCTATAATGCCATTATTAGGGAGGGCAATAAGAATGTTTCACAAAGGATTCTAATTGTATTGTATTATAGTTATTGAGCAGAAGTATTTTATTCTTCCTCCAAGTTACTTAACCAACAGTATGTGCCAACATATCACGACATGGGGGACACAAGAAACCAGTTTTATTTAGATTTGAGTTCCATGCTGTATCATCAGGAACTGATAAAGCAACATAACAAACAGCATATGTGAGCCTTGGCCACCCATGAGGATTTTGTCCTATGAAAAGCAAATGTTCAAGTAACAAAATTAATATTAATATCTTCTGCAAACGTCAAAAGAACTACTTTTAGTTGAGCTGAATAATCAGAGCGTCTCCATAAGGGACGCTCCATTTAGTTCACATAATAAAAGGAACCTGGACGTCTCTCATATTTAATCATGTTGGCCTAACACTCAAAACTAAGTTTGCAGTCATATGGGCAAAGTTCCTTGTTGAAAAAATGAGATTTGTAAACTGGCAATCACAGTCTTTTCCAAAAAAAAAAAAAAAAAAAAAAAAAAACTGGAATGGCATAGAAGACGACTACCATTGTTGAAAAAGTCCTCTATAGCAGAGGCACTTAGAGTTCCAGAGCTTTATGTCATCTTGGAAAGTTCAACCACAAAGATCATAATGAATAAGAAGCCAGGAAATGAATTCCCTTCATGGACCCTAGCAGGGCAAGTGTGTCCATTATTTCCAGGCCTCTATAACTGGAAGACTTAAGGATGAAAATTTAAAAACCTTACAAGTTCGAAATAAATGCTAAAAGTTTATTTCACAGCTGCTTCAATGGATTGGTTTTGTAAATTTCTATATTCTAACCTCACTTTCTAAATTGTTTTAAATTTACACTATTTATTTATGGAGTGAATGTATGTGGGGTGTAAGTGTACAAGCTCATAGCACACGTGTGAAGGTCAAAGGACAACTTGGAGGAATCTGTTTCTTCTTCCACCGTGTGGGTTCAGGAGTTTAAACTCAAGTTGGCAGGCTTAGTAGAAAATCCCTTTACCAAAAGACCACTTTTATCTCTATAATAAAACTCGTCCAAATATCTATCTGTCTGCTTCTTTGCGTTTGTCTTTCTAGTGCTGTGATCTAACGGTTTTATTTGCATCTCATTCTGCACTAAGACCAACGACAGCATTCACTACAGCCAGGAAGACAGAACATGGTAAGTTTTTGGTTTGGGTTTTAGTTGTTACAGTAATTATTCTTCCAAGGAACTTTGGGCCAACATGATTAAAATCACATGTTCACTTACTGATAGTTAACTGATATTTTACCCAGTCAATATTAGCATGCATTACTAGAATCTTTTAAAATAATAGAATTATTGAAATACTTGTCATCTCTTATTTTGCCTCTCAGATAATTTTTTCAACATATTGTTATCATCCAAATTTTTATGTCTTCTCCACCCCAAATTCACATGTGACCAGTGGATGATATTAAGGTTGCAGTCTTGGGGCTTGGGAAATGGATTAATTGTTAATAGTGTTTGCTAGTTTTCCATAAGGCATAAATTTTGTCCTAGTATCCATGCCAGGCAGTTCATAACCACATGTAACTCCAGCTGCACAGGATCCAACATTCTCTTCTGGCCTCTGTGGGCACTGAATTCATGTGCACATGCACGCATGTATAAACACATACACGTGTGCGCACACACACACACACATGCACGTGGGCACACATATGAAAATAAATATAAAGGGATAAAGGTGTTTCTATATGTGTGCAGCCATATGTTTGCACTTACTAACATATATCACGAGATTCTCATAACCAATAAATACATGAATACATCATTTTTAAAGACTTCTCACTGTTCCATTGTTGACCTACTGCATGATTTTTAAATTAGAAAATTATGAGGTTTCCAATTTCTGCCTATTGGAAACAACATTATAATGGCTCTATGTCACCATCTGGGAAAACACATCTTGGTCATGAATCTCATCACGAATTTGGGGAAAATGTTCAGAAATAAAATTGCTGAGTCGATGAGTAAGCACATATTTAAATGTGAAGTATTTTGTTAGCAACTGATTTCCAAACGACAGCAGAAAGGATGTTCCCTTTGTCCCATCTCACATTTATTTTTTTTTTGTAGAGTCAACAAACATTGGCTATATGCTTGTCACGTCTTGGGCAATGGGTGCTAGGTAATGAGAAACAGGAGAATAACATAGCTTCTCCCAGCTTCTGCCAGCAGTTTAGAAACAGAATATGTAGATAATTTAAATGTGAGATTACAAGAGTGAGTTTTAAAAGCATGCTCAGGGATGATTAAAGAAAAATTATGCTTCTAAGCATATATTAAAGTATCTACTTTTACATCTACCTGTTCATGTTATAGTCCTAGGCTTCATATTTGATGCGTCTTACTGCTACACTCTAACGGGAAAATATTTCTAAATCTTGGGAGAACTGAAGTAACTTCTTTAGATGTGACTTTTGTGACCAAGGACAAGTAAGTGTTAAGAGTGAATTTCTCAATATGTAAAAATGAGGATAAAGTGAATTTTCAGATTGCAGTAGAGAACTGCCTTAAGTCAGCATGCTTAAAAAGCATTTCCCAATCAGAGGCATTTTCTTCAGGGCTCTGCTTTAAACCCCTCAGTATCCTTCAGGGACAGCTAGCAATTGGGACATCTCTTCCTCCATGGGAGAAATGGAAACATCTATAAGATGTTTACTTTACCCATTATTTTTCAGGGATTATTTAATTTTTATCAAAACTCCACTCCATTTTGGTTTCAATATATCACAAGCTCGTATTTCACTTTGAATATATGAAGAAGTTACAGTAAACTGAGTTCCGAAAATAACAATAGGTACATTTTTTAAACTTTTCCAGCAAAAGTAGACAATTAACACAATGCCATTATTTAAGGACAGAAAGAGCAGACTCCATTTAATGGAGTAAAGTAAGCTGTGCTTCGGAGTGTTGATGTAAATAAACAGTTTTAATGACTTTAATTTTAGCACTTCTTGCTCACATAAATATATAAAAAGTCACAAGTGATGTATTCTGATCCTCTCAAGCAATTCATTAAAACTAAGCACTTTTTCCATTAATTGTTCCAGAGCCAGCTTATAGTCCCATCACAGCTGGTACTTAGCATTTTTATTTAACTTTGATAGTGTTCCTAAATCTTAAGTATGCCACATTTGCCCATTTCTGTTAAACAGGAAGATTTGGGGGAGAGAAGCACAGAAGTACTCTTGATGTGCATTCATGCCTTCAGCAGAATAATCAGCTGAAAGACTCTTTAGAGTTTAGAACACACATAAGACATCTCTTGAAGCAAAGCTGTCTCAGCCATGTTCAAAGCATTGAAGTCATCCTCATTAGAAACTCAAAGATGCAAAGAAAGCATCCGCTCTGACCTGCTGGAGTAGCAGTGATGCAACATGGACCAAACTGGCTCTTCTGACCGGCTCCTGTCTTCCCTCGTAATCATTTGTACACCAGTGTAGAACTTGTTCCCCAATGTATTTCTCTAGTGGTTCACGTAATTAATACTATAGCATAGAAATCATCTAAATCATGTTAAACTAGGTCTATCTAAATGAAATAATATCCAGAGGATTTGTGAAGTGCCATGTAAAGGAAAGATGCATTTTACCTCACTAGAAAATAAATAGCACAAAGGACTTATAGTTCATGTAATTTAAAAAATGGAAAGCAATAAAATTTTAAGGTATTGTTACAATCAGTATTTCCATCTATATTGACTTTTTATAGCTATTTAAAAATTCATATTTCCAAAGAGCAATACAAACTCACTTCTAAAACTGATTGCTACTGACTTTTCTTCTTCCCAAGTGCACTTTAGAAAACCTCTTTAACCGGAACAGAGCCATGTTACCCAACTGTGGTAAACATTCTGTCCTGCATAGGAAACATGAGTCTTACAAACAATGCACCAGTGAGCTCACTATTTCATGGGCTTCCCTGGGACATGGGGGTCTTTTCTGTGTCCTGTAACCCAACAGTAACTTCCCTGTCAGATCCATTTTCAGCCCTGTGGGACATACATATAGCTCTCTCATTGACTGACTTCTGGAGGGAGTTACTTCATATTCATGGACAGGTTCAGGGGAAAACAGGGGGAGAGGTGTGTGTGTGTGTGTGTGTGTGTGTGTGTGTGTGTGAGAGAGAGAGAGAGAGAGAGAGAGAGACAGAGACAGAGACAGAGACAGAGACAGAGACACACACAGAGAGAATATTAAAAGTGCTGCAACAAAAATGAGCTACAATTAAAAAAGAAAGAAATATAAATATTTAGCAA